TGTCAACCAGCACCCCCAGGTCTTTTTCCACCAGGCAGCTTTCCAGCCACTCTTCCCTGAGCCTGTAGCGCTGCATGGGGTTGTTGTGACCAAAGTGCAGGACCTGGCACTTGGCATTATTGAACCTCATACAGTCGGCCTCAGCCCATCGATCCAGCCTGTCCAGGTCTCCCTTCTGGCATCTGACATGGCCGTGGGGTGAAAGGGGCCCCAGGGTGCTGCCCTGGGGCCCCCGTGCTGGGCACGGCCTTCCCCCAGCGCCTGGCCCTGTGGTGGAGCAGGCCCTGCGGTGCTGATGGAGCTGGACACAGCTCAGCCCTGAGGTGAATGGAAAAGTAGATGATATTCATGTGATTTTAAACTTTAACTTCAGTCATGGCATGGTCGTTCTCGAGCAAACACAGCCTGGGAAAGACAGTGCAACACACCAAGTGGGGTAACTGAGTGTCATACCTAGGGCTAACGGAAAGGAGAAAAAACACTGTAAACCTTCCCATTTTCAACACTGTACTGCATTAATTTTGGTATAACCAAGTAATCTTTTGGATGGCAAACAGAGCTATTGGCATACACAGGGCTAAAGAAAATAAATATAAAACTTCTTGGGGTAATAGCTTTTGGATATAATTAAGCGTGCTGGACCTATCAGATTATGCAGTAAACACCTAAAACTTGATGTATTTTTGTCAAAGCAAAGGTATTTGTCATTGCCTTTATTGCATTGCTTTCCTCTTTCATATATCCTTTACATAGGCATTCAAAATGATTTTGTAAAAGATTAATTCTTCTAGAACTTCAGTTCTACAGCAAATGTACAGGTGTACGCTGAGGTTTATTTTCAATTACAGTAAAAAGTCGGTGTGATTTTTTAATATCGGGTTTTGTTTATATTCACTAATGAGGCCTATGTTGTCCTTTGCTGTAAACTAAACTCAGGATTCCTTTTTGCCTTGCCATTGTGGCTCACATGGCAACGAAGTGTGGGACAAAAGCAGTCTCAAAGAATCATAGAATCATAGAATCATAGAATGTTTTGGGTTGGAAGGGACCCCTAGAGGTCATCTAGTCCAACCCCCCTGCAGTGAGCAGGGACACTGCTAACTAGATCAGGTTGCTCAGAGCCCTGTCCAACCTGGCCTTGAATGCTTCCAGGGATGGGGCCTCCACTACCTCTCTGGGCAACCCATTCCAGTGTTTCACCACCCTCATTGTAAAGAATTTCTTCCTTATATCTAGTCTAAACCTACCCTGGTTTAGTTTAAAACCATTACCCCTTGTCCTGTCACAGCTGGCCCTACTAAAAAGATTTTCCCCATCTTTCCTATAGGCCCCCTTTAGGTATTGAAAGGCCGTAATCAGGTCTCCCTGCAGCCTTCTCTTCTCCAGGCTGAACAAGCCCAACTCTCTCAGCCTGTCCTCATAG